TGGTCCTTGTGTGTGTGTTTCAACTCTTAAGTTATAGTTTTAACATCAATAATATTAATAGAGACACACACAGAGGAGCATTTCAGAAAGTTGATGGAGTCTGATTGCAGTGTGGGGGTTCCCCCAGAACGAGACAGAGATTTAAGAAAGAGACTCTGGGAGTCCGAGAGGAAAGGATTTAGAAACAGAAACAAAGATTGGGAGAGAAAATGATATGGGTGTATAAGTGTAGTGTGTATGTGAGAAAGGGAGGGAGAGGGGCAAGCAGCAGCGAACGGCAAGAGGGGCAAGCAGCAGCGAACGGCCAGATGAAAACGCCCTGGTGGAAGCCACCTCCTTCACCACCTGGGACCCGCGCGCTCCCTGCCTCCGCCCACCTCCAGGGGTTGTTTTGAGTAGCTGGAGGTGGCTGCTGCGAGGAGAGAAATTTCTTTGTGACCCCCTGCACCACAATGAGACCCCAAAACAACCTCCAGTGACTGTTTGGACACTTTTCACCTTGTTTTGTTAGGGGGCTTAAAGGCACAGTTAGAAATTCTCCCATTCCCCTTTCCAGGCTTATCAGAATGGGAGATCTTTATCTGTAGGAAGAATGTGGCAGTTTAAATTTCAAGCCGCTAGAGGCCTGGGAACAGAGTGGTGTACCTGCTCCCTCCTCCCTCTGCCTTTTCTAAATATTTTAAATGAAGGGAAGGTTTGAGGCATGGTTATACATTTTTGAAGGACATAGAAAGAAGGTTTAAAGGCTAATGTAAAATAGTGAAAGTTTTTGTAAAGGTTGTACATGTGATGAGAAGGAAACAGCAGAAGTAGAGGTCTAGAGAGAAAGAGAGGGGGAGAGGGAAAGAACGAGACAGAGATTTAAGAAAGAGACTCTGGGAGTCCGAGAGGAAAGGATTTAGAAACAGAAACAAAGATTGGGAGAGAAAATGATATGGGTGTATAAGTGTAGTGTGTATGTGAGAAAGGGAGGGAGAGAGACATGAGCAAGAGATGGGAAAGGACAGAGATTAGAGAGGGAGAGAGACAGAAGGTGAGGCCGGAAGAGACAGAGACGGTTTGAAAGAAAGGGAGACTTAGACTCCAAGGGTTTTTTTTAACTCCTAGGAAGAGGACTGACAGGACCAGGGTTCCTTTCAATTAAGCCCCAATAGTAACCTTATAAGTAGAGGGCAAACCTATTAGTTTCCTGGTGGATACTGGGCAGTCTATTCAGTCTTTACAGAGCTGATATGACCTCTAAGAAGATATCAGCCCAGGGAACCACCAGACAAACTGCCTGTTTTCCTTGGACATCAAGAAGGGCTGTGGACCTAGGAAGGAACACGTACTGGAGGAATGCAGCCACTGAACTGGACCAAAGTAGAACAATGGGCCTTTGAGGAGCTAAAGAAGGCTCTCGTCTCAGCACCTGCCCTAGCCTTGCCAGATGTCACGAAGTGAGTGAGGTAAGGGGCATTGCCAAAGGGGTTCTCACTCAGACTCTAGGTCCCTGGAAGAGATCTGTTGCCTATCTATCTGTCTAAGAGACTAGACCCTGTGGCAGCGGGGTGGCCAGTGTGCCTCTGGGTAGTGGCTATCACAGCATTGCTGGTGAAGGAGGCAGACAAGCAGACTCTGGACCAGGAGCTAGCCCTGACAACGCCCCATGCCATTGAGGCCCTCCTCTGAGGTGCTCCAGAGAGATGGATGTCAAACACCAGAATCACCCAGTGCCAAGTTCTTCTCCTGGACCAGCCCTGCGTCCGGTTCCATAAGACACTGGCCATCAACCCTGCCAGCCTGCTTCCAAATGACCCAGAGGAACCCATTCATGACAGGTGCAAGCCTGGGACTGATGAGAGGGCACAGTCCTCTCATGGCCACAGGCAAGTCCCAGCTTAGAGGGCAAAGCCCTCCCAGCACAATTAGAGCCAGCAGCTAGAGTTATAAGCTTGAACCATCGGTCCAAACATGTGGCCCCAGGTGTCTGAGTGATGTGGGCTTGATGGAGTTCAGGTTCATGTAATTGAGTAGATTTGAAACCCATAAGAGCATTTTAACCGTGCCCTTACTTTGCCTCATGGAATAAGGCTGTAAAATAATGACTCGGCTAACAGGATGTGGTGCTATCGCTAGCTCTCCATGAGAGAGGAGTGTCCCACCCAGGCCCAGCTTTCATTCTGTCTTTTTCAGTCCTTCACTGCCCTCTCTCAGGCTCACAGAACCTGGCTGAGCTGGCTGGGCACAGGCTGGCTGACTGAGGCCTCTGAGCAAGTTTCCTAAACACCCATTGATTGAGAAGTGCGGTGAGGTGGACACAGCTCAGACCCAAAGAAGAGGGCAGAGGGCTTACAGGGCTCCTGCAGCTCCCCAAGATCAACAGCAAGGGCAGTTCCATGTATAGACATCTGTCATTCCTTTTATAAGGAACAGTGTCCTTATAAAATAAGGGCCATCGAATCAGGTTTGTAGTTATAGTGACCAGAAGAGACCAATGAGCAGGACAGGATGCCCACAGGCAGCAACAATGGAAGAAATGGATCCCCCAGCAGCATGGGACAGGCAGGCACCAGAATTAGAAAAAGAACCAAACTTTTGGTGGTTGGGGTCAGAGGAGCGGGTGGAATTTCAACCAGATTGTCCTCAGGATAACCCCTATACCCTATACACAACAGCTCTACCAGCAGCTTCACAGAGAAATGAAGTTCAGGTACCTTTGCTGGGTTCTGCAGTGGGAGGAGCCAGCATCAAACATCTGGGCACCTCCCACTCCTGTCTCTGGGTGGCATGGGGCTATGGCTCCTGGCTGCAGAACCACCACAGGAAATCCTCCAGGGGTCAACCCAGGTTTGTGTCTCTTTCTTCTCAGCACTGTCACCTGCTTCTGGGTGGTAGCTAAGGGTTTCATTGTCCTAGCAGAGGTGGACCTGATTACTGAAAAAGGCCTCAAGTTACTGAGAGGCTGTCTGTGGATGGGGACCTCCATGATGGCTGTGTTTGGTGTTTATAGATAATAGAAAAATCACCTTTCCGTTAAAAACTAATACTGATTGTCACATTCAATTATTTTTATTATTTTGTTTTTGAACAACAAAATTACACTTTTTACAAATCTAATGAGACTAAAAGTACCACAGTACTTTTTATAGATTAATGACTTTCACATAAACACTTGACAAAAACGTGAATTAAACACCACAAGTGATAAGGTGAGAGTTTTTAGTGTTTACTGTTTATTTGCGTGTGTTTTTTATAGAAGCACAGTTTGTACATTATAAATTAAGCAAAATAAAATCTTAAAACAAAAAATATCCAGTAATAGTACCCTGTAAAAACCCCATTAGCTATTAAAATT